GTTGACAAGACATGAATGATGCAAATGAAATGTGATTGAAAAATTGTATGTAAGACAAACTATTGGGTATGTACATTGAATTATAATATGAAATTAAGTTTGTGTAACATGTATCATATGCACGTAAATCGATAAATTGTTATATATGCACTACACATATTTGTGATTGATACCACATGTTTGCAAATTGAAGTTGTTGTTTATTACATCTTATATTTGCATGTGATAATATTTGTCTCTTGATATTAATGATATGATATATCGTGAATGAGTTATTGTAATTTGATAATGTTAATTATGTGTTCAATATTGATGTTATTGTTACAAAGGATATGTTGAGTGTGTGTGACTATCCATATTTGGTTTCATACTATGGCTAGAATGAAATATTTCTCACTCCCCTTGTTTTTATGTTATTGTTGCACATGAAACTCATCAGGATATTAATGATGCTAGTGACGAAGCTTAAACCTTGTAGGAGTGCTCTAATAGAATACGTAACATTGGAGTTTGGACCATGATTGTTCTTCTTATTCTTATGATGAAACTTATGTTTAAATACATATTTTGACTTTATTATGGAGTTTTATTTTGGGAGACTATTATGTAAGACTTTTCATCTCATATTGAAGACTATATTTTTATTATTTATGCACATATTTGATATTTTTTATATCTTTTGTTCCAAATTATCATTTATATGTATATACGAGATAGAAAATGTCATAATTAGTGTTCAAACCTTTAGGTATTGACATGATTTTTTTTTAATAGAGAGAAGAAATAGAATGAGATAGTAAGAAAAAATTACGAGAAAGAACAAAAGAAAAAAAAAAGAAGAAAAAGTTAACTTGAAGAACTTCATCAAATTCTTCTTTTTATTGTGAAATTTAAAATTATATGACAAGAGGTGAGTTTTTTACTCAAATAATACTATTTTAATTTTTTTTTACCTAAATAGCAACTGTGCAAATTCATTTCTCCAACTAGCACCATTTACTGTTTACGTTCAGAACAGGCCGTTCTGATTTCAGAACGGATCGTTCCAGATTAAAAAATAACACATGACGAATGAATCAGAACGGGCCGTTCCGGATTCAAAATTAGCACATAAAAAGTGGAACCAAAACAGGCTTTTCTGAATCCGGAACGGGCCATTCTGACCTATAAATAAAAAAAAAAATTGGTTTGATTTTCACTTATCAAATACCAAAATTCAGAAACTAACATCAAATAATTAAATTTATTGAATATTAACATTATAAATATAACTAAATAAATTTATTAAAATTCAATACGGCAATAAAGATCAATGGTGGTGGAAACTGATTATGTTGTTCTCTAATGTCCATCTTTGTTTTAATCCTGCTGGACTTTGATCGGCCCTTGAAAGTTCTTTTGAGTTCTAAATTTGGCCACAAAGTTAGACCAATGTAAGTAGGCCAATAATACCACATTTCATTTAGCCTTACTGTAAATCTCCCAGCGGGTCATGCGAGCAAGAGATATGATCTTTTTGGAACTTGCCGCAATCATACCATATTTCATTTAGCCTTACATAAATTCAGAACTCAAGAGAACTTTCAAGGGTCGGCCAAAGTCCAGCAGGATTAGAACAGATATGGACATTAGAGAACAATATAATCGTGTAAAAAATTGTTCCTATTGTCACACCCCTGGTCACACTAGAAAGACATATCTAAATATTGGTGATGAATTCAGTTTTCGCCACCATTGATCATTATTATTGTAATGAATTTTAATAAATTTATTTTATATTTATAATGTTAACATTCAATAAATTTAATCACTTGATAATAGTATATGAGTTTTGGTATTTGATAAATGAAAATAAAAAAAATGGTTTGAATCTGTAGGCCAGAACGGCCCGTTCCAGATTCAGAATGGCTCGTTCTTATTCCACTTTTCATGTGCTAATTTTGAATTTGGAACGGCCCGTTCTGATTCATTCGCCATGTATTATTTTTTAATCTGGAACAGCCCGTTCTGAAATCAGAATGACCCGTTCTGAACGTGAACAGTAAATAGTGCTAGTTGGGAAAATAAATTTGTATGATTACTATTTGGGTAAATTTTTTTTACAATAATATTATTTGAGTAAAAAATTCTTTATTTTATATTTATCATAATACTTAACTACCATTGTATTATTGTACATGAGAACCCATAGGAATGAATAAAAATAAAAGTTTCAAAATTTCACCCAATATAATATTATACATGTTTTCTCTTTTGAATTTCTCCTATAACTTCTTTGCACAAGTTTAATTTCTTAAGTTCAATTAACAAAGTAAAGTCACAAAGTTTTATAGAAATTAACTAAACACCACACAAAGTTGCCGATCATTATATTAACTCCATTCATGTTACAAAATGCAACGAACACACTTGTATTTGGATGTTTATATCATAAACATGAGGATAATGCATATTTCAATTTATAATATATACGTCGAGTTATATTCATATATTATTGTAATTTATTTGTATTTTTATGTTTTATTATATTTTTTTATTTATTTTTTATATTACATATTTTTCTATATATTTTATTCAATTCATCTCTCACTTTTTTATTGTTTTTATATTTCTATCTTCTATTATATTTTTCTATTCTTTATATTACATATTTTTTATCATTTTATTTAATTCATCTCTCACTCTATTATTATCCAACTCTCATCTCATTAAAATCATCAACAAAATTAAAAGATATTATTTTCTTCTATTATCAATTTCTTTGCAGTTCTATGGATCTATTATTACATCTTCCTTTCACTCTCTATATTACATCTTCTCATACTCCATCAATTTCACCTTTCACTTTCTATTGTTTAATTATTATTTCACACTATAATCTTTATCAAAAATATAATATACTATTTTTTCTTTAATTTTTGTCTTCTATTATATTTTCTCTTTATCTTTTATATTACATCTTTTTTATGCATTATATTCGATCAACTTTTCATTCTTCTATTATCTAACTCTCATATTTCATTACAATCATCAAAAAATTAAAATGTATTAATTTTTATTTTACTATCCATTATGTGCATGAATAGAATTTGTGCGACACAATTGTTTCAATGAAATCCTATTTATATATTTTTTTAGGATATTGTGTGATAAGGATGTGAATTTCGCTATTATTATATCTACCCTTGAAATTTCTGATTCTATATTCTCTTTCATAAATTTGATTTCAACACCTCTATTCCAATTATATACAAATCTTTTATAACAATAAATGTATATTAAACTTAGTTTAGGATTTTAGACATGCAAAAACATATATATATTTTTTCTTCTTCTCAATGCTTGTTTTGAAAAAAAAAAGCCGTTGTATTGAACTTGATTAAATTAACACCATGAAATCATGGTTATCCCTTTTAAATATGAAATTTAATAAAAGAAATTTAATCAAACAAACTATACCATAACTATAACACTCCATCACATTTGCATTATTTCAATAATTTTTCCCACTCTTTATATTTTTCTGATCTTCTTTTATATATCTAAAGTTCATTAATTAAAATCACTAATAGTATAATTGTATTGACAATTATAACGAGATATATGTTCATATACATACAAGTAAATCATTGAGATAACGTGTATGGATGTGCACATATATCTTGCCTTTTATGAGACACATTTTACGTATATCTCACTGTATAAAGAAATAGTCTATTGATACAAATAGGAAATAAATTAGTTTGGTATATTAACTAACTTTTTTAACAATAGGTTTTGTTTAATTGCAATATAAGGAAGAATATACCAAGTAGAAAGTTTCACAGAAATATTAACTTATGCAATCGTTATTGTGATTAATTTTATAATCTTATTAATATAATCTATATGAAAAAAAAGTGTGAAAACTTTAAAAAGAAAAAAGAAAAAAATATACCTTAGCAGCCAAAAGACCATGTCTGGTTGAAAAAGAGAATCAACTTGACAACCATTTTACAAAGCTTGTAAATATATAAGTGTATATGAAATCATTACTCCACTAAATTTATTTAAATAACTCATAAAAGTATTTCCATTGGAGAAAAGAAAATACACCCTCATTCTCTTTTTAAATTAAAAAAAACACTATTTTTTTAAATATAAATAAATTTTAACTTTTCAACTTTATTTAATAATATTTTTTCTAAATTTTTTTATAATATATAACTTTTTATAGCACTAGTCTTTTAAATATTTATAACTGAGAATAGTTATGAAAATATTAAGAGGTTAATAAAATTTAATATAATTAATTAATTTTTTAATACTCTTGATTTTTTTTCCCTTCCATAACATGAAAGAGAAAGTGTACTAGTATAATGTTCATTAAGATTATAGTATTAAAATCTTTGAATTGAAGGGAGATTCGATTTAAGTAAATTAATAAATGCAAAAGTTAAACTGAAAAGTAACTCAAACTTCAATTTCATTAACTTAATAATCATCGAAAAATAGATTTAAAAATCCATGATAAGTTTCTCCCAAAATTCTCTATCGCAATAACTCAAAATCTACATTATAGTATTTTATTCTGTGAAAATCAATACCAAGTCAATTTTGTGATTTATTCAGTAGTGGTGGGATTTACGCGCCGCAAGAGATGAGAGTTGGTGAAAATAGTAACCGAAAAAAATAAATAATGAAAGATACGGGCAGCAAGCAAAGTTACACGCAATCAATCGCAAAGAGGGTTTCGGGCAACGGGCAACGGGCACGCTGTCATTTCCAGCCAGTAACGCCGTTTCACGCGCAGAATGAGAAAAAGCATTAATTGATTTATTAATTAATTTAGTGTGTTTATTAATTATGGGGAGCAGAATAAGAAAAAGAATTTAATGAATTTAGTGATTTATTAATTATTATTAGAGTTATGCTTAGAATGGGAAGAAAGAAAGAGAAATAAAGAAAAGGAAGCGAGTGAGGATTAGACAATAGACACTTAGACAGTGGAAGTCACGCACCCCAACCACCCACCCACCCTGATCCGAAGCTGAGGTACGGTAGGTGACAGGCAGGCTCGGACGTTACTGAGCCTCTGGAAAAAAGCCAAGGCAGGCGCACCCTCGAAAATAATGGAGCCTCCCAAAGCAAAGCAAGAGAGAGAAAGTGAAACAGGGTTTTAGAGAGAGAGAGACAGAGAGTAAACGCGCAACAGCGATACCTCCACGCGATGGGTCAGATCGTGAGGAGGAAGAAGAAAGGCCGTCCCTCCAAGGCAGATCTAGCTCGACGCTCCGGCGAATCTCCGGCCGCCGCGCAGTCTGACCTCCGACGCAGCCGCCGCCGCCGGAATGTGCGCTACAACATCGACTACGATGACTACCTCGACGAGGAGGACGAGGACGAGGACGAGGACGAGCGGAGGCGCGAGAAGAAGAAGCTCAAGCTCGTCGTCAAGCTGAACAACCACGAAGAGGAAGACGACGACGAGGAAGACGACGCGCCGAGTCGCGCAGCGCCGCGTGGAGTTCACGCGCCGGAGGAGAAGGTGGAGGAGGAGGAGGAGGAGGAGGAAGAAGAAGAAGGCGAAGAGGAGGAAGAAGAAGAGAATGAGGAGGCTGAGGAGCACGAAGAAGAGCGTGAGGTAACGAATTTGACATTAGAGAGAAAGAGTGCGTTGGTGTATGTGTGTGTCCACCTCAGATTTTTTTTTTTTTTTTTTTTTTTTTTTGTGATGCGATACCAATTGGTGCATAATTGAATTATGTTTACTCTCTTTCTCTCTCTCTATCTATCTCTGTTGTTTTTTGTTTCTCTCTCTAGGGCTTTCATTTTCTCTCTCTGTGTCGGGGTTTTGGGGGAGATAACTAGTCAAACTGTCAAAAACTAACACACACACATGCAGACTCTCTCTGATTGTGTTTGCTTCCATTTTATTAACCTTTTTTTTTCTTCTTCTTCTCTCTCTGTGACTATAACCTACGAAGCATTCTTGTCTGTCTGTCTGTCTCTCCCCATCGCACTCGTTGTTCTTGTATCAATCCAGTGCTTGCCTTTTTTGTGGTTTTGTGCTGTGTTATTAATTCTGTGTGTTGTGTGGTTTCTTGCGACAGGTAAAGGGCAGAAAAGTGGATTCCAAAGGGCTCCACTCTGTTTCAGGTTTGTGTCTCTGTGTTTGTGTGTGATTTGTTGTTTCGGTTGTAAATTGTAATGTAATTCTTATTCTCATTTCTTAATTCCTCACTTTTCTTTTTTTTTAATACCGAAAAGGGTGTGCCTGTGTTTGTTTCTGTTGCTGCATCTTTCTCTGAGTTTCTCAACTGGCGTTCTTTTTTTGTTTTGCTTTGTATCTAGTGTTGGGAACTCCGTCGAAGCTTCCAGCTGGGATTCCGTTGCCCGACAAGAGAACCCTGGAGTTGATCCTTGACAAGCTTCAGAAGTAAGGGGATTTCGTTTTCCATTTTCTTTCTACACGCACACTTTCTGGCTTGAGTGTGTGGTGAATGCGTCTTCAAGTTGAATTTACTGTGTGGTGATGCCTTGTCTTTTGGTGAATTGGCAGGAAGGACACATACGGTGTGTATGCAGAGCCAGTTGATCCGGAAGAGGTGTGTGGGGCTGTGGGCCTTTTTTTCCTGTGAATTGTTAATCATGCTTTTGGATGGCAATCTTAGTTTAAAGCCCAAATTATGTTTCAATGCAGCTTCCTGATTATCACGATGTGATTGAGCATCCCATGGACTTCGCTACAGTGAGGAAGAAGTTGGCAAATGGATCTTATCTTACCTTGGAACAATTTGAGGTGTGTAAACGTGCCAACTGTTTATGTTTGAAGTTGGGGGAGTTTCTTTTCTTTTATGAGATTTTGATTGATTTTGCAATATGTTTATGAAGTGGGTTGTGAGGAAAAGGCTGCTGCATGCTATTGGTGTGAGGGAAATCATTCAGGGTGGCAAACTTGTCAGTATAATAGACTCTGTCAGGATTTTTCTCTTATGCTGGCAATGGTTGCTACAGACAGTAGTGATTTGCATGTAGCTATTTGTGGGGATCTTTTGTAGGAGAATACTATTAATTGGGATCATACGAAATATAGCACAAGTTATAGCTGTGGTTTGTATTTACCTGGAAGGAGTATGATATTCAATGTAATGATAGATTGGATTATTTTAAGACATTGAATAGTGTAGCTAGTCTATTCTTGCATGAATCAATGATAGTTTCTTATCTTGGTGGGAACTTTGCAGTTTAGCCACTGGGGACATAGAGCCCTAAAATTTTATCTTCATTGCCTGACCCCAAATCTTTGCACTCGGTTGGAAAAGTTAAAAGTTTCCGCTGAAAAAATCATTTATGCCCCATGAGACCATGGGAGACTAATTTATATTGATGTTAATAGGCAGTGGGGGAATATATCGTTGTTAGAGTTGTCTGTTATTTACAACTCTTCAGTGGGACCTCTTTTAGATGAAAAAAGGTGTGGGAGAAGAAAATGATTTTTTGTAATTTGTTTTTCTCGGTGGCTATTGTGGCTTTTCTTTATAGACAAACTGTCATTGTCATCATGATGTTCAATAAATGAATTTGTTTCTTTACCATGGGTCCCTTTATCACATAAGAATCTTGAGTTTTGTTTGCTCTATCATCTGAACTAATGAGGGTAAGCTTTGCACAACAGTAAGATTGTAGGCTTGGGATCTAGAGGTCAAGAGTTTGAGTTCAAATCTTGGAAACAATGTCTTTTGATTGTGGTGGGTCAGGTTTTGTACATCTATCCTCCCCAAATCCTGCTAGGTGGGAGCCTTGTACACTAGGCTGTCCCTTATTATCATCTGAACTAATTTTAAACCGTACATAGTATATATAGTCTTTCTGATTGAGTGATATTTTGGAAGACAAGACAAGTAACTGATTTTACCATATTACATTGAAATTTGAATGCAATTGTTGATTGCAGAGTGATGTATTTTTGATTTGCTCAAATGCAATGCAATACAATGCGGCAGAGACTATATACCACAAACAGGTATAGAATTGACTGCTTTCCCTTTTAAAAATACTGCAACTAGCCATTTTGTTGTTCTTGCTTTGTGATCCCTATATTTGTTACAGGCACGATCAATACAAGAACTGGCAAGGAAAAAGTTTGAAAAGTTAAGGATTGACTTTGAACGTTCTCAGAGTGAGCTGAAGTCTGAACAAAAAACTAGATCTAATTCCCTGGTTAAGAAGCTAGCAAAGAAGCCACTGGGACATGCATCACAGGAACCTGTTGGCTCTGATTTTTCCTCTGGTGCAACTCTTGCTACTATTGGTGATATACTGCCAACTTCCCATCCAATGCAAGGTGTTGTCTGTGAAAGGCCTGGCAACATTGATGGCCTTGTAGAGGGGAATGCTTTCTTAATTGAAGCAAATCAAGAGAAGGCAGAAGACTATATATCAGGTATCACAGAAGAGGTCAAGTCCTCTTTCTCTATTTGATGCCTTAATTGTTCAATATCGCTTACACTCAATTTGATGTTATTGTCATCATCTAACTATTTTCTTTTGGCTGTTACTTTATTGTTTCAGGGAGGGTTCTGCTCTCCAAGTTGGGAAGGAAACCATCTGTGCAAGATATTGAACGTCGTGCAACTTATAATACATCTAACCTACCAACTACTAGATCTGATTCCATATTTACAACATTTGAGAGTGAAATTAAGCAGCTAGTTCCTGTATGTATCAAAAGCAGTGAATTCTAGTCCTGGAATAGTTTAGTTTTCTTATCTTGTTTAAAGCGTTAATGTTGTATTTTTTGCACCAGGTTGGACTACAAACTGAATATTCCTATGCCAGGAGTTTGGCTCGTTTTGCTGCAACCCTAGGACCTACTGCTTGGAAAATTGCTTCCCAGAGGATTCAGCAGGCAGTACCACCTGGCTGTAAATTTGGTCGTGGTTGGGTAGGAGAGTATGAGCCGCTTCCAACACCCGTATTAATGCTTGATAATCGTGCCCAGCAACAACCTAGTTTGGGGACAAATTTGCAGTCTACTACCGAATTGTTGAAGGTTGACAAAAAATGTAAGAATGTGGAATCCACTGTGGAACATCCTGTTAATGTACCAATGCATGAGGGAAAACAGCCTCCAGTTTGTTCTAGTAGTGGGTTTACATCAGATGGAAAATCATCTTTATTTGGTTCTGCTGGACCAAGACCCAGTGCTCATGTCAATAATCTCTTTTATCAGCAGCCCAATGTCCAAACCAGGAACCTCAATAAGTCTGAGAACAAGGGTTTGAAACAAGTGGAATTGAACTCTTTACCCTCAAGTGATCAAAATAATGCCAGTCTAGTTGCAAAGCTTACTAGTAATACTCCTGCAGCAGTGTCTAAGCCCAGAGAAATGGTACCAAGTAACAAGAATATTTTACCTTCTGTGCCTTTCAAGCAGCCAGATTCTAATGGAGTTGTTAGTGGAGAGTTGCCTAATGGAAAAGTAAGGAATACTAATTTAAATAGACGGATGACTGGTCCATCATCTGAAAGTACATCAAATCAAACAGGTAGAGCAGCTCCCTTTGTTGCCCATGGGCAGGAGCAGAATCTTAGTGACCCTGTTCAGTTGATGAGGATGTTAGCCGAAAAGACACAGAAGCAACAGACTTCTAGTTCATCCAATCATTCCCCGGCTGACACCCCACCAGTGACACCATCAGTTCCGTCAGGACGAAGAGAAGACTCGACCAATGCTTCAGCAGCAGCTGCCCGTGCATGGATGTCTGTAGGGGCAGCAGGTTTTAAACAAGGACCTGAAAATTCCAGTTCACCCAAAAATCAGATTTCTGCAGATTCATTGTACAACCCAGCACGAGATTTCCATCAGCATCAGCCTTTTTCTCGAATTAGGGGAGAGTTTCCTTCTGGTGGAATGCCTTTCCAGTCTGAGAAGAACAATTTTCCATTTCAGGCACTTGTACCCCAATCTGTTCACCCAGTTGGTGTTTCACAGTTTCCAAACCGACCTATGGTTTTCCCTCAAGTTGCAGCTTCTGACCTGTCAAGATTTCAAATACCTCCTTGGCGAGGTATCCGTCCTCATAGTCAACCAAGACAGAAACAGGAAACACTTCCTCCTGACTTGAATATTGGTTTTCAATCTCCTGGGTCACCTGCAAAGCAATCATCTGGTGTGCTGGTTGACTCCCAGCAACCGGACCTTGCTTTGCAACTATGACATGGCTTTGTATTTCTGGTGTGGATGTTTCCACAACAATTTCACCTGATTATAGAATTTCAGCTCCTGCCATCGGACTTCAATTTTGATCCAAAAGCCCTTCTTTGCATAAATGAGGAAATGGCTACCATTTTGTTACTTTTGGAAGAGATGAAATGAATACCATGTGCTTGGGTAGATTGTTAACCCTTGGATACTTTTGTTGGGGATCTTATGGTTTTCTTAAATAGGATTTGGCACAAGGTAAATTCAAATGAGTTTGCTTAGTTTCAGAAGACTTGGGTGAATTTGGCAGAAAACAACTTTGGAGTTTCCATCTTTTCCAGATGACGATTACCGAGATATTGCAGCATCTGTGTTCTATCCTGGAGTTGAAACCATATAAAACATTTAATAGTCGATCATGATCAAGCGTTGCTTAGATTTTTCAATTAGTGGGCGAAAAATCCTGTTGATGATGCCTTGTACATTCTTTACAAATGGTTGAAATTCGGTTGCCTAGATATTGATTTCATTAGATGATTACTTGTTTATCTGAATTGATGGGAAGGTATGACTTCTTAGTTCACAATGCTGCTATTATTCTGTACATTGCAACGAATGCAAAACCTCAACTTGCTTTTCCTTGTTTACTCAATTCTGCTGCTTCACCATGCAACTTGCGTCGCAACTAGTATTTTGAGTATCTCGTGTCTAGGTTGATTAACAAATAAGAAGGTATGTTGAAGTGACTTGTGATTAAAAAAGTCGTTCAAAGAATGATTCGCCTTTTGTTTTTCGAAACGAGCTAAATTTAAAGATGGTTAAATTATGTTTCCTACTACGTATAAATATGGTTTTGTTTAGTTTTAATTATCTAAAATTGGTAATTTTAGTTATGGGAAATTTTAACATTTTTTAGTGAAGTGACATTAATTTATTGCATTACATATCTCATAATGGTTGATGGTGTGATACATTTTTCTTTTATTCATAGAAATTGAATGCAGGTAACAACGAGGTTTACAACATTTACACAGCTGTTCAATCAACTGAGCTAGAGAGCTTTGGATATGGTGTGATATTGTTAGATCTATCATCTATGTCGTTGTTAAATAACATGTCTTAATTTTGTGTTTTGAAAGATTAAGACTAACTAAAGTTATATCTATAAAGATTAAAAAATTTTAATTCTATAAAATTCGAGTTTAACAATTTTTTTTTTAAAATATAATGAGGTGGCTCACGAACAATAGGTCTGTATATAACTCGGGTGGTCATTGGCATGGATGAGTGAGACAAAGGTGAAGCACAGTGGGTATGATGAAGATGATACATGCATTAAATTAGAGAACAGTTCGGTTAAATCGTACTTACAAAAGGGGTGGAATCTAGTAGTTTTTATTCATATTTAAAGATAAAACTAAGTTGACTTAGACTGGGATTTGTAAAACTGATTATAATATATTTTTAAACCTAAAATCTTAGTCCAACCTATTTATATAATATAGATATTTTTAATATGTGATCTATATAATCGTTTAAAAATTAACCTAACTCAAAAGTCTAATTAGAAAAATCTCCTTTGTATATAAAACCTTTTAAAGCATGCTTATAATGAATTTTCCTCCAGATAACCTAATGAACTAAATTATGAAAATCAGTAGGTTTAAGCTTCTTCTTTTGTATTGAATAAGTTTAAGCTTTTAAATATACTAACGAGAAATTCAAATAAAAATATACTAAAAAGAATAATATAGTGAAATTTTAATATAATTATTATTTAAATGAGCCAATTTATTAAGTGTAACAGAATTTTTAAATGGCTTAAAATTTGTATATTTAACTAAATAAATTTTAAATTATAACATCAGTCTAACTTATTTAACATGTAAACTTAACCTACGTTTAATATAGATTATGCCAGAAAACTTATTGATGACGATAAATAGCATTACTTAGTGCATGTTTGATTGTGTCAGATTACTGTTACTCTTTAAATTCAAGTTAAAAAGAGGGAAATATGCGGTGAGCTGCTTTCTACCAGTCGACGTTGGAAAGTAAGCCATGTGTTACCAAATGATGAAACTAAAATTCAACATTGTTGCTTCCCACTTTCCACTTCCAATTTTGCAAGGCTTCAGGCTCATATAAATCAAAATGGCAGCCAAACATAACAAATTGACATGAACTTAACTTGAACTTGACACAGCTTTGCTGTTACAACCTTTTGGATTTATATACGTTTTTCTTTCTTGAGTAATAAAAATAATAATTTTCAATTATGCATTACCATCACAAAACAACGATAAACTGTTTGTATTCCGAGTACTCGTAGAATCAGCTAGCAAAAGATATTAGAGAATGACAAACAAATCCGTGAAAGTTTATGGTTCTAACTTCCAAGTTATAATCACTTCAGAAAAATATTGGTTACGCCTGAAGTATGTATTTCCAAAAACTGAGGTATGCATGCCATGTCATGCAAAATTCCAACATGGTTATCAAAATGTGTTGGTGTGAGCGGAAGCCACGGATTGTTTTTATTAAGCATGTGACTTTGGTTCGATCTTGAGATTTACGTGTTTGAAAACAAAATACTTTACAGATGAGTGACTGCTTTATATATATATGATGATCCTTCAAATATTAGTCTCTCACTTAACTTTTGTTTTGTGAATAATTAACATATATAGTTTAATCATTCTGTAACCCTTGTTCTTTCATGTTAAAACAAAAAAAAAAAAAATCTTTCTAGTTTCATAATATATATATATATATAAATTATGGTGTGAACCAAGAAGTAATGATTTTTTTTTTAAGGAAGAAGTAAAGAATATACAAACACTCTTATATATCAAATACTTTATTAACATCACTATATATCTTTTTTTCTATTTCTTTCAATTCATATAACAATCATATTATATTTTTCTTTCTTCTCTTTCTAGTTGACTAGTTGTCATCTAGCAACAAAGTATCATCAATGAGTTCAGTATAGTATGATATATATATATATGCTCAGAGAAATAACAAATGTTTAGGTATTTGGAATAATTAATTAAATGTTCGTCTATCACTACCTTATCTCCATTTTGTGAGTTTCAAATCCTTGTAACATTGTCTCAAAATCATGAAGGGAATCTGTTTCACCTATCTGCTGTTGGAAACATCACGTAATCAAGTAGAAAAGTCAAACGGAAAGCTCTTTCGTCTATTCTTTGGTTACTAAAGTATAGTCATTTAACAGATTGTTGTAATTTCAAGCCGCAGCCAAAAGGACACGGTTCTTCAAACTAGGAAAGGCTTTGAATTGGAAAAACCTTTTTACTATTATTATCAACTTTGCTTGAATTCATAAACAAGGAACTCTTTGAGAAGGGGCTTGAATGAAAACTATATAACAAAGTGTAACTAATGATTAAAATAAAGAAGTTACTCTAACTATATCAAGTTTCATATTCACATCTAGTTCATATCTAGGTAATACACTAAAGTCCTCATTTTAAATTTTTTTTTTCTTTATATATGGTTTTGTTTTTCCTTTTCTGTGTTTTTAGCAGGTTCTGAATTAATCACTTCATATATTTTAATGTTGAAAATTCATTTCTTTCCTAATCTTACCCAATTAAACTATTAATTTAATTACTTACAATAAAAATATAAATAACAAAAAATCTTCTTTCTTTTGAAATCTCAATTGTTTGTATTTTTAAATTAATTACTTCCGATCCCTTTGAGTTATTTTCTATAAAATTTATATGGGTGTGCTGATCGTCCAAAATAAATAACCTAATAATCAACTATGCAACTTTGATTAATGTGCTTTTAATTTGATAAACCTGAAGTTTTGAATTCATAATGTGGGTGTCATTGGATTTCTTTCTTTTAAGAGGTTTGATATCACCATTTCAGGAAGTTGTGCAGCCTGCAAGAGTCAGAGAAGGTGTCCTTTGGATTGCATTTTCGATCTCCCATATTTCCCTTTCAGTGTGTAATTAAGAACTTAATTTTGATTGAATTTTATAAAAGAAATAAAATAATTGAAGAAATATATTAAAAAGAAAAAATGAGAAAAATTAACTTTAAACTAATTAAACTCCTACATTAAAAAAAAAAGAATAAAAAAAAAAAACAATTTCACTTTAATCTCCAAAGGAATGGAGAAAAAAAAACAAGTAAATTAAATATGCAGATACACCTAAGTTTAGTATAATAAAAAGGCAAATGAAACTAATTATAGGAAAATATAACACGCTGAACATCAACAAACCAACGGTATTTAAAGATCAACCATATTTGATCAGTGCTCAAGACAGTATAGAAAGAAATTTAATTAGATCTTCGTTTAGCTAAAATATTAACACAGACGTTGATTTCCCCATGATGATACCATTTCTTGCAACAACTACCAAACTATCATCCTATAGTCAATTAACTGGTATAGGCTTCGTATTTTCAATTTGGTGTACTATTTGATATTACTTATAAACATTTTAAAATAATTATTATATTTTGGTATTCAAAAAAATTCTTAAATTACTTATACATTAATTTGAATTAATGAAATGAAATATCAAATAATTTTTAATTTTTTTTTAAATTTAAATATTTGATCTATATATTAAGAACTTTAAATTCAACAGTTAAATTATTAAAATTTGATATAAAACATTATTTATTGAATAATTTACTCCAGCTTGCTAAATAAAAAAGTTGGCTTATTTTGATTTGTCTAAAAAAATCATCACATCAAGTTATTCAATTCATAAATAAATTATGTAATCAAAAGATAAAAAGTTAATTTGATCAATATTCGTTGCGCACATAAATAGACTACGGAAATTAATTTTCATATTATTAACCGTTGTATAATTATTGTTCATGCTCACAATCAATTACAAGTAAGAGTCCTTTTTTGATATGAAAATTATATAATCACAAAATTACCAATAACATGATATGTGTGATAGCACTATCCTTAAGGACTTATTCGCGAAATACGCAAGTTCTCCGAGATATAACAGGTCATTCCCAATTAATAATTGAAGTAACAGAATTAACAAGTTTTCAAATGAGAATAACCGATAAAACTCATAATATAATCAAGAAAAAATGTGTGAAGAGATATTCTCCACCTTCTTAATATTATATTTATAATGAAAAAAACTGTTTGTCAAAAACACACATTTTACCAGGCCGGTTATCATAAGAAAAATGTAATTATCTTTTAAAGATCAAGTCAAAATATAAGATAAAACTTAATATAAAAAACCAAGTCATCAAAACCAATTCTAATTAAAATATTTATTTAATAAAATAAAATAAATATAAAATATTTTTCTAATAAAATATTAATCTTTTTAAAATATCACTCAAAAATACAACATTAACAAAGGTAGCATATGAGAGATATAAAATTTATCAGGATAGGGCTATAGGCCCAATAGTTGAAGTCGTTAATAACTGAACATTTAAACACTCTAGTCGTTCCCAGTGCGCAGCCGATAGCAGAATTTAGTGTGATCCATGTTATTAATTGGAGACTCAAATTAAAGTTAAAATCTCATTAAGAATTTAAGATTGATGAGAAGAGTATAAGATGTATACATGAGAAATATAATAAGCTACCACCACTGTATTATCTTCCTAGAATAA